CCTTAAATAGTGATACAATTTGGATACTTGTCCCCTCCCAAATCTCATGTTGAATTGTAATCTCCATTGCTGAAGGTGGGGCCTGCTCAGAGGTATGCAGGTCATGGAGGAAGATCCGTCATGGCTTGGTGCTGTCTTCACCATATAGTGAGTTTTCACAAGATTTGGTCTTTTAAAAGTGTGTGGCATCGCCTTCCACTCTCTCTCTTTGATTCCTGTTCCTGCCATGTAATATGTTTGCTTTGCCTTCTGCCGTGATTAGAAGTTTCCTGAGGGCTCCCCAGAAGCAGCTGGTGGTGCCATGCTTCCTGCACAGCCTACAGAACCATGAGCCAATTCAACCTCATAAATTATCCAGTCTCAGGTATTTATTCAGCAATGCAAGAATGGCCTAATATAAATAGATTTGAAAAAAGCACCTTGCAATGCTCTAGTAAGTGGGAAAACCAGTTTGATTTGACACAAATGAAAATTTACCCTCAAAACAACAAAATGAAAAAGAAATGTTACCAAGTCCCAGTGATCTCATGGCACCTGCCAAGGGCGGTGAGTCTGAAAATGCTCCCTCATTTAAAAGGCAAATTAGCCACAGTCAGGGGCATCAACTACCAAGCACACAACTAGACTTCCTCTTGAAAACATTTTTAAGGGAAAGAGAAGGCAAAAAATATCAACTTTCGGCCGGGAACGGTGGCTCACGCCTGTAATCCCAGCACTTTGGGAGGCCGAGGTGGGTGGATCACGAGGTCAAGAGATCAAGACCATCCTGGTCAACATGGTGAAACCCCGTCTCTACTAAAAATACAAAAAATTAGCTGGGCGTGGTGGCACGTGCCTGTAATCCCAGCTACTCCGGAGGCTGAGGCAGGAGAATTGCCTGAACCCAGGAGGCGGAGGTTGTGGTGAGCCGAGATCGTGCCATTGCACTCCAGCCTGGGTAACGAGAGCGAAACTCTGCCTCAAAAAAAAAAAAAAAAAAAAAAAAAATCAACTTCCTCTCCATGCCATTTGAGGATGTGTTGTGCACCTTCTGAGCTCATTCCTGTATCCACAGAGAAGCGAAAGCCAGGCAGCAGAAACAACAGACAATCACACACACATGGCAGGGGTTAGGGGTGTGCAATTTGGACCCAGATTGCTTCAATTAGGGAGACACCTGAGGGCTACCTGACTCTGTCTCTTCTCTGAAAACAGCCTATCATCCACAGCCCTGGGCTGTGGCACTTTACCCAACTAGACTGGGCAAATGAGCTTCTTTCCTGTGGATTCTGAAATAAAGACCTGAGAATGGAGGATGGAGCATGCTGGGCACTGGGGTGAGAGTTCATGTTCTGAAGGACTATGGTTCTTGTCCAATGGCCAAGCTGAAAGATGTGAGGCCAGAACATTGCAGGGGCTGTGGGTAGGACGAAGGCTTGCCAGGCCTTGCTCACCAGGCAGGCATGAGCAAGAGCAGCTCTCACTCAGCAGGACCAGATGCCCATAGTTGCCCAGTATTATCCTTGTATAGGGGCCTCTGGGTCAGTCCCAAATGTGTTCATTTCTTCCAGAAGGTCATGGTCTATCGTTTAAGGTCACCAATGTCTAGGAAGTCAGAGGGAGCAAGTCCACCCTGGGCTGTTGGATGAGATTAGAACCTATTGTGACACCACTAGAAGAGATGCAGAGACCCAAGTCCAAATCACTGAGCTCCGCTGAGGGTGGAGTTTTGTGCAGGGCTCACGGAGAAGCTAATGTAGTCTCTGGACACAATGCAGTTGGGACAGTGAAAAGGTTCCCTTCCAAATGGGAAAGCCTTCCCAAGTCCTGGGGCTCCATCGGATCAATTCGCCCTACATCCTCACATGCTCACGGGCAATCATCCTACACGTAAGCCTCTAGATCATGCCAAAACCAGCACCCAGCTCCCTGTTGTGACCCTCATCAGTGTATTATCAACCTGCAGGATGGTGAGGTGGTTCTCTCCTAGCCAGGCTGTGCTTCCATTGTCACACACAATGTGACTGTGCAATTGTGTATGTGTGTATTGGAAATTAGTAAGGATCAAACACGAATGTGCAAAGCCTAGTTATTCAGAGCTTGCTGCAGCAACAGCAATATAATGTGTGCCAGTGACCCAAACACCAGGCATTGGGCATCTCTATCACTATCACATCTCTCATAAATCTCTGTGCTGTATTGTGTGGCCACATCTGCTGTATCAGAACCTCCGTCCTGTCACACAGGTCCTTGGTGTGCTTTGCATATGCCAGTTATGGGTCTCATGTCTGTCAACATTTCCTGTGTGAACATGCTCTACCCATGTGTGAATCCAGGCTGAGTTGAGGGATGTCAGTTTCACACACCACCACACAGCGTTCCTAAGTACTGTCCCAAGATTGTGCTACAGGAAAACTATCACACACAGAAATACTTCCACTGTATTTGGGACACCTGGATCATACAATACCTGAAATGTCTTCTTATATTCGAGATCAGCCTGGGCAACATCACGAGACCCCATCTCTAAAAAAATTGTTAAAAATTAGCTGGAGGCCAGGTGTGGTGGCTCACACCTGTAATCCCAGCACTTTGGGAGGCCAAGGTGGGTGGATTGCTTGAACTCAGGAATTTGAGACCCTCCTTGGCAACATGCAAAATGCTGTCTCTACAAAAAGAAAAAAAATAGAAAAAATTAGCTGGGCATAGTGGCATGCACCTGTGGTTCTAGCTACTTGGAAGGCTGAGGTGGGAGGATCGCTTGAGCCTGGGAAGCAGAGGATGCAGTGAGCTGAGATCACACCACTGCACTCCAGCCTGAGTGACAGAGCGAGACCCTGTCTCAAAAAAAACAAAACAAAACAAAAAAAAATTAAATAGGCCAGATGCAGTGGCTCACACCTGTAATCCCAGCATTTTGGGAGGCCGAGGCAGGCGGATCACCTGAGGTCAGGAGTTCGAGACAAGCCTGGCCAACATGGCAAAAACCCATCTGACTAAAAATAATAAAAATTAGCTGGGCATGGTGATGCATTCCTGGAATCCCAGCTACTTGGGAGACTGAGTCAGGAGAATCATTTGAACCTCGGAGGTGGAGGTTGTGGTGAACCAAGATCATGCCACTGCACTCCAGCCTGGGCAACAGAGTGAGACTCTGTCTTAAAAAAAAAAAAAAGAAAAAGAAAGCAAGCAATGTTGAGTTATTTAAGATACCTGGAGGATACTGATGGGCATGCTATCCTAGAGGGCTGCCTAACTCAGTCCCTTCTTTGAGAACAGTCCACCACCCACAGTCTTGTTAACCAGTCTCTGGGGACACCTGACCCAACTAGGCTGGATCAATCAAGTTCTCTCCCCTGAATTCTGGAATAAAGACCTCAGACAGAGGGCAGTGTGTGCTGGGCACTAGGGTGAAGGTTTGTGTTTAAAGGACTGTTTCTAGGGCTGGGCGCGGTGGCTCACTTCTGTAATCCCAGTACTTTGGGAGGCCAAGGTGGGCGGATCATGAGGTCAGGAGTTCGAGAGTAGCCTGGCCAACATGGTGAAACTGTGTCTCTACTAAAAACAGAAAATAAATAAATAAATTAGCCAGGCATGGTGCTGGTCACCCATAGTCCCAGCTACTCAGGAGCCAGAGGCAGGAAAATCACTTGAACCCGGGAGGCAGAGGTTGCAGTGAGCCCAGATCACACCACTGCACTCCAGCCTGGGCAACAGAGTGAGACTCTGTCTCAAAAATAAAGGGCCATTTCTACCTTGTTGATCCCCAATGCAGACACAGGAAGACCAGGCAAAAGGATGTGAGACCAAAACACAGAATACATCAGGACCTGTGGGTAGAAGGGGAAGGGTTTGAGATGCCCTTCTCACCAGGCAGGTATGTGCAAGAGAATGAAATCGAAGGACTAGGGTCACCCACATGGGACAGAAATAAAGCTTTACTCAGCAAGACCAAGAGCCCACAGGTCTCCAGCCTCTCATCTTGGTGCAGTGTCCTCTGGGCCAGTTCCAGATGTCCACATTTCTATCAGGGGAAGGTCAGGACCATGATCTTGAAAGGCACCAATGCCTGGCAAGTCAGAGGCAGCAAGTTGACCTCAGGCTGTTGGATGTTAGAACCTATTGCTTGGTCACTGGAAAAGGTGCAGAAAGCCAGTACATCTGAGAGTCGAGCTCCATATAGGGCACAAGGGAGAGGGACCCCGCCTCTGAAAATAGGGTAACTGTGGCAGAGGGTAAAGCCTCTGATGGGGGATGTCATTTTCAGGTTAAGGTTTCTGCTACTCAGGCTCCTTCTGATTCTCTACTTCCCCGTGTCCTCCTGCATTCACATTGTACCATCCCACGTAAGCCTCCAGATTGCTTGCCTGGCTCCATGCTATGAGGATCATGCCTGCAGAATGGAGTTGTTCCCTCCAAGGCAGGCTATGCCCACATGTCACACTTTGTACATGGAGATTGTGTGTGCTGGGAAAATAAAGACACAGCCAATTACTAGTGTAGATGTACTTTTACCACAGGCACATTTGTTTTGATACTAGCTCCTCCACTTTCTATTAATCATATCCAAAATTTCTGTACCAGTTATGTCCCATGCTTAGCTCCCATCAGCTTGAGTATCACCATCTATGGAATCATGGGCATCAGAGCATATGACTCCTTTGCAGAAGCTGGGAAAAAGCTTCCTCTCAACAGTGCTAGGGAACAATGCAACAAATCCATCTTATTCCCCAAAGCACAGGACAGCCGACTTGTCCTCAGGATGACTTCTAGTCCAGAGAAAGTGTAGGGATCCAGGCCACAAATTAGGACAATAAAACCCTTGCATTGTTTCCTAGCAGGCCTTGGGCAGCAAGGCAAATGGGACTAAAACCAGAATGAGAATTACTCTCTGTAATTTTACTTTTCCTGCACAGGCCAACAATATTGGGGCCCCAAAAAAGCTGTCCATTCCTTTAGGTAAGAGCCCAAATGTGTTTTCCAGCCACCTCATACAGCAAACCAAACCCTAAGACTACAAATAGATTTTAAAATAAGGCCTTTATTACCACACAAACTAGAGCAATGTGAGGTAGCCAGCTACCAGGTGGTGACTTGTAGGGTGGGAAAACTACCACATGTCTTGTGAGAACAAGAATTTCCATGAAGGGAAGTCTTCCACATCAGTTTCCAGCAGAACCCAGGCTGGGCCCTTCTGGCCAAAGCTGGTCAGATATATGCTGCAATCAGTCAAAAAAGGGAATGAATTCCCCTTGAAGGCTCAGACTGCTCAAGGAATTTCCTCCAAGGAATGGGAGAACACAGGTTATCTGCCTTGCCCTGGTATGCAAAGGTGACTAATGATTTAATTCCAGCAAACGCTTCCAGCAGTTTAGAAGGGTGAGGTTTAGGCAGATGGCTCCTTCACAAAGGCTCTCTATAGCCATAACACTGAAGAAAGAGATGGCACATTCCCTGCAGGTGTAAGGCTTTTCTCAGGTGTGGAGTTACACAATGTTAGATCTTGGGCTAAAGAGTTTTCCACATTTGCTGCTTTCACGAGGCCTCTCCACAGTGTGAGATTTTCGGTGGAGAATGAGGCCAGAGTGTTGTGTAAAGGACTTCCCACACTTGCCACATTCATACGGCCTTTCTCCAGTGTGAACCACCTGGTGTTGAATGAGGCTAGACTTTTGGATAAAGGATTTTCCACACTGTCCACAGTCGTAAGGCCTTAATCCAGTGTGAATTTTCTGGTGTTCAACAAGGGTATAGCTTTGTCTAAAAAATTTCCCACATTCACTGCACTCAAAAGGCCTTTCTCCGGTGTGAGTTCTCTGGTGCCGAACAAGTTTAGATCTGAACATAAAAGCTTTCCCACATTCCCCACATATGTAAGGTCTTTCTGCAGTGTGAACTTTATGGTGTTTATTAAGGATAGTTCTTTGGCTAAAGGATTTTCCACACTGGTCACACTCAAAGGGCCTAACTCCACTGTGAATTAACTGGTGCTGAATGAGGCCGCACTTTAAGCTAAATGATTTCCCACACTGGCCACATTCATAAGGCCTTGCTGTAGTGTGAATTCTCTGGTGTACAACAAGGCTGAAGCTTTGTCTGAATAATTTCCCACATTCGCCACACTCATAAGGTTTTTCTCCTGTGTGAGTTCTCTGGTGCCGAACAAGAGTAGATTTGGACCCAAAGGCTTTTCCGCATTCATCACACTCATAAGGCCTTTCTCCAGTGTGAATTCTGCAATGTTCAATAAGGTTAGAACTTTGGCTAAAAGACTTCCCACATTCACCACACTCATAAGGCCTTTCTCCAGTGTGAACTCTGTGATGTTTAATGAGGGTGGCTCTTTGGCTAAATGATTTCCCACACTGACCGCACACATAAGGCCTTTCTCCAGTGTGGATCCTCCGATGGTCATTCAGATGAGAGGTTTGGCTAAAAGATTTCCCACATTCACTGCACTCATAAGGCCTTTCTCCAGGGTGGACTCTTTGGAGCTGAACGAGGGAGCACTCGCAGCAGCAGGCTTTCCCACATTTGCTAGATTCATAAAACCTTTTTCCAGTGCAGACTCTAGGGTGAACAAAAGTGTGTTTGTGGCTGGAATCTTCCCTGCATTCACCCCATTTGTAATGACTTATTCCAGCATGAAAGGCCTCCTCACATTTGCTGATTTTGTTTGGCTTCTCATAGTTAGTAATGGCCTGTGGCTGAAGAAGGCCCAATGGGGCGAGGAAGTCCTTCCTAACCTCACTACTGGTGAAAGGCATTCCTGACTCACGGAATAGGCAGCACTGCACAAATGAGGCCTCGTCCATGTCACTTTCCAAGGGTTTCTCCGCACTATGATGCTTCTGATCCTGGTGAAGGACCGCGCATGCCCCAGTCAAGTATGATTTCTGCCCAGGCAAATTGGTCAGGTGCAAAATGTCAGTCAGGAATGGGACACACATGTCACAGGATTGAGTCTTCTGGATGGATGGACTTGCCTCTGGAGTCCTGACCTGAGGTACTCCTTTTACAGAAATACATTGCTCAGGTGTCTCTTCATCCTCTATCCCATGCCAACAAACTGAAAGCAGAGAAATGTTGATGAAATGCATGTTGACTATGATGGGAGTATATTTATCATGTAAAAAATGCTTTTCTGAATAACTGATGTTCCAATATCTTAAAAACTTTGTTGGCCTGAGTCCAGGAGTTCAAGACCAGCCTGGGCAACATGGTAAAACCCTGTCTCTACTAAAAATACAAAAAATTAGCTGGGCATGGTGGCAGGCGCCTGTAATCCTAGCAACTCAAGAGACTGAGGCACAAGAATTGCTTGAACCCAGGAGGTGGAGGTTGCAGTGAGCCTAGATCATGCCATTGCACTCCAGCCTGGGAGACAAAGTGAAATTCTGTCTCAAAAACAAAACAAAACAGAATAAAAAATTTTGCTGGCTGGAAAGAGAATGGTGCTTCCAAAGTGAGCCAAATTTTAAGAGAGAGAAAAGGGCTCAGTAGGGAGCATACCAAATACACAGAGTAATCAATCCAGAGCCCATACTCCCATTTTCTTTTCTTTTCTTTTTCTTTTTTTTTTTTTTTTAAGACGGAGTTTCGCTCTTGTATCCCAGCCTGGAGTGCAATGGCGCGATCTCGGCTCACTGCAACCTCCGCCTCCTGGGTTCAGGCAATTCTCCTGTCTCAACCTCCTGGGTAGCTGGGATTACAGGCACGCACCACCATGCCCAGCAAATTTTTTGTATTTTTAGTAGAGATGGGGTTTCACCTTGTTGACCAAGGTTGGTCTCGATCTCTTGACCTTGTGATCCACCCGCCTCGGCCTCCCAAAGTGCTGGGATTACAGGCTTGAGCCACCGCGCCCGGCCATAGTCCCATTTTCTATGTGACTTGGATGCTTCAGGAGCTAATAATATCCCTCTGCTCTAACCGTCCCAAGGTCGGGAAGCAGGCAACTAAGCCTAGTGAGCCTCTTTGCCCCAAAGCAAACTACTCAGATTACCCAATCCTAAACAATTTATCATGTTTTGTGTTACCTGCAAAACCCCAGTTAAGGCTGTGGCTTAATATTTTCCCTTCTCTCTTGCTTTTACCTTCTGACCACTAAGCACTTCCTTCTGTGGCCCTGTATGGCACGGTGTTCACATGCTCTTGCTACTGCAGGTGATAAATTCCTATGTCATTGACATTAACTACTCTACCACTTTCATGAATTGAAATCCTGTGGGTACATTTTAAAACATGAGAGGGGAAGCACCTTCACATATACATTAAGGAATGAATTCACAGTATTACTTTGAAGCAAGATGGAGGAGCCGAAAGCAGGATTAAAAAGGGGCTGTTTGGTAGAAGTGGGCCTCTAAAGATCGCAAACTGGGGAGGCCTCACCAAACACAGGACATAAAGATGGGGTACAGCATGTAAGGAGAGGTGGGGTCTCCAATGTACTCTTTTGCCAAATCCTTTGGCAGGATCTTGTTGGCTGGTGACATGTGCATGCTGTGCTGAAGGCTGGTGTTACTCAGGCCCAATATAATGCAATTGGAACTGAACGGGAGATTCCAATTGCGATCATCTTGTGTTCAAGAACTATTTAATGGCATGTGCACAATTCACAACATATTGTGAGTGGCTCAGTGTTGGAAAACATGCTAGGGGGCAGTGCAGAGAAACTGGTGACACCTGGAAGGCAGGAAGATGGGGGCAGCATGAGGCCAGATGTCCCAGATAAAGCAATAAGCCAGCAAAGTGTCAAAGAAGAGAAAGAAAAGGTAGAAATGAGGTGTGTCCAGTAGTATTAGCACCAAAACTCTGGATGACACAGGGCAAGTTACTGGTAAGATGTCATGCCCTCACCTAGGTGCCACTGACTGAGGCCAGGCTTCCTCTGAAGCCACATTCCTATCTTCACCCTTTCCAAAACCAGGGCTTTCCTGGCATCTCTAGATGTGCCACTACTTGGGACCTGAATGAGGCAAGTCGTAAGGGAAAGCTGGGACAGGTGAGTATCCTTGCCCAGAGCAAGTCCGCATCCTTGAGAACACAAGAAAGAAAATTAATGTCACACAGATCCTCGAAAGAGGTTCTGGCAACAACAGCTCATGGTCCATGTAAATACTGATGAGGAAAATTCTGCAAATTCTTAACATAGGCAATCAAAGGAAATGTCACCTAGGAGGCAGCACTTGAGACACAAAGTGCCATGAATATGGACACAGCCACCCAAAGAGGAAGTGAAGAAGTAAACTGAGATGCATTAGGCTGACTCAAGACACCTAACACCCAGACCTATCCCTGCACACTTTGGGACAGCAAATGTCAGGGCTGACCGAGGAATGTAACAATTTCATTCCTTACACCACAGCACATATGCCAAGACAGTGGGGAGGCCAGCAGAGCCCACAGTACAGCAATGGAAAGGGCAGAGCTGCCTCTGGGGAAAAAGAGGATAGACAAAGACCAGGACATGAGAGTGGGTGTGAGGGCCTTACCCAGTGAGGTTAAAAGTGCAAAGTTCTCCAGCATCACATCACGGTACAGGAGCCTCTGAGCCTCATCAAGGAGCCCCCATTCTTCCTGGGAGAAGTAAATGGCCACGTCCTCCAAGGTCACAGAGCCCTGCCATAATGGGGACAGATCTTTCCATGATCAGATTCTCTCCTAGGACCCCAAGTTCATGCTCCCCACACATCCTTCCCCTGCTTACCCTCATCCCTAAGCCCCATCTCAGAGGAGACACCAAGCCCCGATTCCTGCCTTCTCCTCATGGTCCCATCATCACTGTGTCTTCCCACAGTACCAACAGGCAGGTGGACCAGGAAATGCCATTTAAACTCTGGGTCAAGCATATAGGGTTGGATTTTGTCTTGTCAGACAATTCTTCTGGGATTTCCAAGATTATGCCTCTCACACACAAACAAATATGGGGTTAGCCATCATTCTTATATCCTCAATGCCATTGCCATAGGGTGTTGAGTTCAGACTTTCTCTCCATTTGCGTATCACTTTTTGGAGCACACACTCTCAAACAAGCCCGCTCCCATAGCTATTTCCACCCCATCGCCCCACACCATAAGCATCTCTCTGGCATCCCCACGATACTTGGAAGGTGCTTTGCAGAAAGTGCTTTGCAAATTGAAACAGGGTCCGGTGCTACTCAGAGGTTGAATGGTCCCCAATGCCAAAGGCAGCCTTCAGAGCCCCATCCTGCTCTGAAGGCCTCCCTGCCTGACTCTGTCTCTTGCTACATCCTCAGTCACCCAGAAATACCTGAGGATCTGACACCCATGGCCGTCTTTCACTAGTGCTGCACTTGATGTCCCCTCTTCAGTCACAGCCTTCCTTTCCCATTAACCCTCATTCAAAGTCTGCCCCGGAGGACCCCCCACCTCAGGCCCAGTGATTTTCCCAGATGACCACTTGTGCCCTTCGACTTATCTACCTCCCTGAAATTCCTGACACCCCAAGGGTTACCACAAAACGCTGAGTAAGCACTATTCTGGCCTCAGTATCATTTTGTCGCAGTTACTTCCAGGCATTGATCTCATGCCCACTCTTTTCCTACAGCCTTGGCCACCTGCCAGATCATCCTTGCTCTCACACCCTACCATGGCCACCTCGCTCCCATACCTGTCTTTGTGATTCCCACCATGACCAACCGTGTTCCCAAGCAGAAGATCCGGTAGTGACCCCCAACTTCCCTTTCCTGGGCTGGTGATAGCGTTACCAGAGTGATCAGGATTCCACCTCCTAATTGTGACCCAAGCTAAGCCCCTAGGCAAATAGTGGCCACCACCTTTTAAATGTGTCCATCCTGAATCCCTCCCCACAGTTCTAATCCTGTAGGATAAACTATCCACTTGATGTCTAAACCAACTGTTCTTTGCATGTTGAGATGATGATTTTAAAAAAAATTTTTTAAATAACGATATTCCAAAACAAAACTTCTGATTATCTCCAGAGATAACTGACTCAACTACCAACTTTACAATCTTGGCTAGTGGAGCTTCCCTATTTCCAGCTGTTAAACCCAAACACCTTGCCTTTGCCCCTGATTCTTACTTTTCTCTCACCTTTAACATCTCAAAATCCAGACTTTCCTACTTAAAAAACTGATCTAGAATCCTACTACTACCTCCACAGCCACAACACAAGTCCAGTCACCAGTAACACTCACCTGGACTACTGCAGCAGGCGTCTTCACTATTTTCCTATCTCATCGCTCACACTCAGCCTGTTCTCTCAGCCTTCCCCTGTTCTCACACGCAGGGAACCTAATGAAACCTGGGTCACATCACATACCTCCTCTGCCCCCGAGCTCTCATTGCTCATCACACACTCCAGAAAAAACACCCAACATCTGAGAACCATTTATGGTCTGATTCCTGCAGCCCAGCGTTCACTTCCCATGAGAAAGAAAAAAAGCTGTAGTTCCCTAAACCAGCTCAGCCTGACCTTAAAGCACTTGCTCATCTGGGTATCTAAGCCTGAGACAACCTTCCATACTACTCTTACTGGTTTCCAGCAATAGGAGCCGTTCTATACCAGCCTCCAGCCTCGATGTATGACCCTGGGATTGATGTTTGTTCAGGGTCCCTAGAACCAAGGACCAACAGAGTGCCAAGAAAAGAGTCCCAGAACACAACCTCAGAGACAAAAACAGGTCAGCACCAGTGAAGGCCCGAAATACTCTCCACTCACCTGTGTGAAGCCCGTAAATTTAGCTTCTGCAGTCATGGGTACCTGCGGGTAGAGGAAGGCTGTGAGAGGCAGGTAACTGTGCTGAAAGCTCCATGGGCTCATACCTCCTTGTCTCCCTGAGCAGCCCTGGAGCCAGATGACTTGGTGATGACTAAATTATGCTTGCTACTCAGCTCCGCGGTCCTCAGTGTGATCCCTACCTGCTCTGGGACCTTGCACAAGGACTCAACCTCCCGGTGCTATCCCCCTTCCAGGCTGCTCTAACTCAGAGTAGCTTTAGGAAATTTCTGAAGTCTAACTCAGACCATGTGCCTCTTGTGTGCACAACCACCCGTGGCTCCCAGCGTTTGGAGATGAGCGAGCCTCACTTTGCCATTCCAGCGCGAACGCTCCTGGCTCAGCTGTCCCAACAACAGTCACAGAAGCCGGTCCCTCCACCTGCCACACCCTCCACAAACCACGACACCAGGCCTGTAAATGGGAGTCCGGGCTCCTGGAATCTGGGGCCGGGCTGCAGGGACGCGAGCAGGTGCCCCTCACGCGGGGCATTCGATTTCGGGCGGGAGGGCAGGTGAGGCTCGCGGGGACGCAGCACTCACCGGAGTCAGAGCCCTCAGCACGGACGCCGCCATCGGATTACGGGCAGAGCGGGGCCGGAAGTGGCGGGCGACCCGGGGCGGGAACCCAGACACGGCTGCCACCAGCGCCGGCCACCCACGGACCGCTGTGCAGCTGGGCGATCCCGGCTCTGCGCCGGACGCAGCGTTCCTAACTCAGTTGTGGGCCAGAATAGAGAACAACCAAAACGAGCACCTCCGAGTGGCGCCGGAAGTCCCGCCTTACTCTATGCAACAACCGCCGACACGCCCGGTCCTGAACGTTGATTAGCTCCTCCTTTGTGCGGCTTGGCGCTCGGCGTTGTGGGTAATGTAGTTCTCGGAAGCCCAGGTGTGGGAAGTAGAAAAGTTATCTTCAAACTTTCCATTCTTGTTAAAGAATAATCATAAGTGTTAGAAATAATAGTTTGTTTTAACACTTTCTTCAAAGCCTTCTTGCTTTTTGCTGGTAGCTCTTTGTTAAGCCCTATCCTATGTGGCTGTTAGACATGCTTATAGGCACCTAGTGTATTCTGTGTCCTTGTACCTTAACCAAGATATCTGTGCTGGACGTGCTAACAGGCATGTCCCAGCTTGCAGCCTATGCCCCTTCCTTTATTTGGACTTGCATTTTCTTCTCCATTGCTTTTACCTGTTTAGAAAAGTTTTAATTTTTCAGCCAATTGGGTTTTAGTTTAGATTGTGAGGTCTCGCTCTAACCAGCAGAGATTAGATACAGCAGTAAGGACAATCCCAAATGCGTAAGGGATAAATATGTCTGCTTTTTCTTTGTTTGTTGTACTCTCTTGGCAAGATTGCTGCTGAGGGTACCCTTTCTGCAGGAATTCCTTGCTAAGATCCTTTGTCCCAGTGCTGACTTTTCTTTGTGGCACTGAAAATTTACATATAACACCAGGGTTCCAGTGCCCTCCCTGACACAAGGTCCAAGCGGCCACTGGGAGGGTGCTAGGAAAAGGCACAACACCATCAACAGGGAGACAGGGTCTTGCCACACCTTAAAAAGGCCACTGGCTGCGCCGGGCGCGGTGGCTCAAGCCTGTAATCCCAGCACTTTGGGAGGCCGAGGCGGGTGGATCACGAGGTCAAGAGATCGAGACCATCCTGGTCAACATGGTGAAACCCCGTCTCTACTAAAGGTGCAAAAAATTAGTTGGGCATGGTGGCGTGTGCCTGTAATCCCAGCTACTCCGGAGGCTGAGGCAGGAGAATTGCCTGAACCCAGGAGGTGGAGGTTGCGGTGAGCCGAGATCGCGCCATTGCACTCCAGCCTGGGTAACAAGAGCGAAAACTCCGTCTCAAAAAAAAAAAAAAAAAAAAAAAAAAGGCCACTGGCTGATTTCCAAGGTCCCATACCAGACTGAGCACCCACGTGGCTAGAGATGTTGATTCAAGTTCAGGAAGCTAAGGCTCCGGATCCACACTGAAGCGTCACTCTACAGGCCAGGTGGACACCGTGGCCGCCCTGCCCAATGGGAGGGAAGGAGCCTCATCCTCATGTGCAGGGCCGAGGCATTTGAGGCCATTTTGGGGACCTCAGCAGTTCCGTAGGCGGCAGAAGCTACCCACAGATCAGGATCAGGCTCAGGGCCGCTGGTCCACGAGGCCACTTGGGGGCCATGCCCTCTAGCTGCCCCTCCCCTGAGCCCACTGATGGTTCCCAGGTGCAGGAGGCTGGGCCAAGAAGTTCCTGGGGCAGAGTTCCTGGGTAGCTTCACCCAGGGGATGCCTCCTCTAGGAGGACCCTCCACCCTGGGTGAGCTGGGAAAAGGGTGTTTCCTTGACTAGCAGGCTGCGTGAAACACAGAGAATCGAGTGACACCATGAATAAGCACAAGGGGACTGAACGCTGGGAAACATGAGGACAAAATCATAGAGATGTCCACCAGCCACTGACCTGGAATAACAAATAGAGTCATCCAAATGTGCAAAAGAGAGGAGAGTGAGTAAAAGGAAAGAAAGGTGCTCACAAAGATCAAAATGGTGCATGTGGCTCTGGCCTCTTGAGAAGCTCTGGAGGAAAGTCTGTTGCTGTGAATGAGTTGAACTCGCTGCTTGTGTCTGTGCAGGAAAAGGACCATGGAACCACTGGCCCAGACCATGAGGCCCAAATTCATAAAGTCAATTGCAGAGAATGTGAATACGACTAGAAACTTTATAGATCTAGCTGGTTTGAGTGAAGAACAGTATATATAATTTATTTTCACACTTATATTTTTGCTGTTTAATGGACTAATCATTCTCATAGGAACAAAGATATTTGCCAACACCTGCAGGATCCAGCAGAGAAAACAGCAGAAGCCAATGCACTTTGGGGATCTCATTGTGAGCTCCAACCACCTAGAGAAACTGGGACAAAGCTTTATGGCCTGGAAGCCACTGAGAAGACAGGTGGTGCCAAGGGAAACGCCTCTGGCCACTCTGTGAAAATAAAAGAGAATTTTGCATCCAGCGTCATCCAGGAAAAAGTTCAATCCAAGAGCTACTATTGTTTGAGGGATCCCTTTAGAGAAAAGCACAGACAAATTGGCAAAGGCCAGTTGATTAATAGTAAGATCCATGGGTCTAATCTCGTGTCCAGTAAGCAAAGTGAAGTTAAAAAGACAAAGAAGGAAGGAGTTTCCAAGGATTCCCACTACCATCTGAGTGAGAATGGTCAACCCCATTTGCAGATTGGTGGGAGCCATCATGTTATTATCTATAAGACGTTGATTTTAATTGGTGCCAGAACAATGAAGAGTTCAACAAACGAAAAGAAATATGTTGGGCAGGCATGATGGTTCATTCCTGTAATCCTAGCACTTTGGGAGGCTGAGGCAGGAGGATTGCTTGAGGCCAGGATTTCAACACCAGCTTGGGCAATATAGCAGGACCCCATATCTAAAAATAACAAATAGCTAGGTATAGTAAAATTGAGGCCAATGAGATATGATCACAACGCTGCACTCCAGCCTGGGTGACAAAGCAAGACCCTGTCTCTTTTTTTTTTTTGAGATGGAGTTTCACTCTTGTTACCCAGGCTGGAGTGCAATGGCGCGATCTCGGCTCACCGCAACCTCCGCCTCCTGGGTTCAGGCAATTCTCCTGCCTCAGCCTCCTGAGTAGCTGGGGTTACAGGCATGCGCCACCATGCCCAGCTAATTTTTTGTATTTTTTTAGTAGAGACGATGTTTCACCATGTTGACGAGGATGGTCTCGATCTCTTGACCTTGTGATCCACCCGCCTCGGCCTCCCAAAGTGCTGGGATTACAGGCTTGAGCCACCACACCCGGCCTGACTCTGTCTCTTTTTTTAAAAACAGAAAGAAAATTAAAGAAATAAATTATCATACCATGCCCAATAACCTCCAGTACTAAACCTAATATGTATTTTCCTAATTCAAGTGGGCCCTAAGCATGTGTGCTTATGGATGCCAAAGCTACTCTTGAAATTTCTATGTGGAAACAGTTTAAATGTCTGTCTACAAAAATGAAGCGAATGCTTTATGGTCCATCTGCACAACATAACTTTTTGCACCTGTAATTTAAATGAGGAGGCTGTCTAAACTCTGAACTAGTTATCAAGTGGATGCTTTCTGAAATGAAAAGCTAGGTAAAGAACAGTGTAGAACCCCGTCTCTACTAAAAATACAAAAAATTAGCTGGGCATGGTGGCACGTGCCTGTAATCCCAGCTACTCAGGAGGCTGAGGCAGGAGAATTGCCTGAACCCAGGAGGCGGAGGTTGCGGTGAGCCGAGATTGCGCCATTGCACTCCAGCCTGGGTAACAAGAGCGAAACTCCGTCTCAAAAAAAAAAAAAAAAAAAAAAAAAAAAAAAAAAAAAAATAACAGTGTAGAATATGCTAAGGTTGTTCCATGTATCTGAAAGAATAAAAATATAGACTCAGAATATATAGAAAATGGTGCAGAACTTAAGCTAGACTTTTAAGAAAAATTTATGTTATAATGTTTTCTAAAATAAATATTTCACGTAATTATTAAACAGTATTAAGCCAAATTAAATGTTTTAAAAACATAACATTTAAAGGTTAAAAAATGATTGCATGTCCAGTTGGTGGCCTCTAAGAAAATGAATTATTTCAAGTAAATGGAAAATACAAAGTTTTGACTGCATATTCCTAGAAGGATATCTTAAGGCAAAACTAGCTGCAAAGAAATCTTAAACCTGTATGTATATTTTACTACAATTACTAATATGGTATTTTTGAAGTAAATATAGTAATGTAAATGGAAATAATGCTTTCTATGAAAGCAAGTATGAAATTAAAGGCTGGGCACAGTGGCTTATGCCTGAAATCCCAGCATTTTGGGAGACCAAGACGGGCGGACCATATGAGGTCAGTAGTTTGAGATCAGCCTGGCCAACAAGGTAAAACCTGATTCTACTAAAAATACAAAAATTAGCCAGATATGGTGGTACACACCTGTTGTCCCAGCAACCTGGGAGGCCAGGGTGGGAGAATCACTTGGACATGGGAGGTAGAAGTTGAAGTGAACTGAGATCATGCCACTGCATTCCAGCCTGGGTAACAAAGTGAGACTCCATCTATATAATTAAAGATTTTGAATAAAACTCTACAACCTCCATTTGTTAGAAATAATCAGTATTAACTTATATAGTATTTAATTCCAAACATACATCTATTTCTTCTCTCTTTACATTGAAAAAATCTAGAAATCATGAATAATCATAAAACAGTGCCTAATTCTATCACCCAGTTGTTTGACTCTTAATATACTTTCTCAATATAAGAAAGTGGATGGGGAGAGAAAATAAAACAACTTTATGTCAGAATTCCATACATGGGGCAGGAACTTTCCACAATTCTCTTAAAACCTCTAGTCAAATAAAGGAATCAGGGAAACTGTCATAATGCTGAATGCAATTTCAGTGATCATGGGATCACAGGATTCCACCTGCAGGAGCTACTATTGTCCAATATTGTTACAATAACTCCAAAAGATAAACCAAAATGTATATGGCAGAAGTGATAGATAAAAATAACTGCTAAGATTAATGCTGGGAGGTGTTTGGGAAACTACTCATTATTCTAAAAACTGATAAATGGAAACTATCAACCAGTTCTCCTACCTATATCTCTACAGACTGTTTTACATTGAGAAATTTCTGTTCAGTCACACAAAACCGGCCTTGCTGGAATGAGACCTGTGGATGTCACATAAAAACATTTTATACCATCAGTAATGATAAATATGCAAAATAAAATTTAAAAAAT